GAATCCCTTGCAAAAAATAAGGTAAAGTGGACATTCGCGCGCGCAAGACGAAATCCTTCCAAAACCTTAGTGTTCGCAGCGATTTTAACATAAAAACATCAAAAAACCAATGGTTTTTCAACAAAAAAATGTCAAAATCTCATCCCGCGCGCTCTTGCGGATTCGTAGGAAACCCAACACTTTTTAAACATTTCTGTCAAACGGGCTTTTGCGAGCAACTTTTTCGAACTTCTGCGACAACGGTTGCGCACCTGCCAGGGCCATCATCCCTGTCAAATAATACCATGCGGGACACATTCGTTTTTTCTTCGCGCGCGCACGCCGAAATCTCCAAAAACCATTGGGCTTCTTAAGAATTTTAGCACCGCGCATCATAAAATCTTGTGAGTACGTATCTTGTGTATCATGTGTATCATGTACCATATGCATCATATGCAACAGATGTTCTGTGGAAGGCTTAACAACTTCTGTGGGTTAACAAGGCTTAACAACTTCTGTGGGTGTACGAACGTAGGCTTAACAACTTCTGTGGGTGTGTACTCCACGCCAGTGTAGTAGCCACGGTCGTCCGCAGGCCACGAAGTGAAGTGTCCGAACGTCATAGGGCGGGAAGCTGGGTGTGGGTGGTGGCGAAGAGTCGTGTGGATATTTGGTAGAGCTTGCACTGCCCCCCCACAAAGTGGGGGTATTGGCTGGCGTCGCATGAAAACCCTGGCACTGGTGAGAACACTGAGCGTTCGGGTAAAGTGATTGTTGTTGTTGTTGTTGTTGAACATTATTACTTCTAAAGAATAATTATTGTTGGGGCCCCTGGTGCACGACCCCCCCGCCGCGCCTAGGCCGCAGCCACATTTTCATCATTTTCGTGAGGAAGTCTCAGGCAAAACGGGTTGGTCCGGATCCGGTTGTTTTGTTACGATCGCTTTCCCTTGCAAAAAATAAGCTAAAGTGGACATTTCTTGTTCTAACATAACCAAACTTCAAGAATCCCTTGCAAAAAATAAGGTAAAGTGGACATTCGCGCGCGCAAGACGAAATCCTTCCAAAACCTTAGTTTTCGTAGCGATTTTAACATAAAAACATAAAAAACCAATTTTTTCAAAAAAAAATGTCAAAATTTCATCCCGCGCGCTCTTGCGGATTCGTAGGAAACCCAACACTTTTTAAACATTTCTGTCAAACGGGCTTTTGCGAGCAACTTTTTCGAACTTCTGCAACAACGGTTGCGCACCTGCCAGGGCCATCATCCCTGTCAAATAATACCATGCGGGACACATTCGTTTTTTCTTCGCGCGCGCACGCCGTCGTCGTCGGCCGCGGGGCCCTGAATAGTAGCCACGGTCGTCCGCATGCCACGAAGTGAAGTGTCCGAACGTCATAGGGCGGGAAGCTGGGTGTGGGTGGTGGCGAAGAGTCGTTTGGAAATTTGGTAGAGCTTGAACCGGCCCCCCCACAAAGTGGGGGTATTGCCCGCCTCCTATGAAAACCCTGGCACTGGTGAGAACGGAGTGTCCCCACGTGCTAGTAATTGTTGTTGTTGTTGTTGTAGTAGTAGTAGTAGTAGTAGTAGTAGTAGTAGTAGTAGTAGTAGTAGTAGTAGTAGTAGTAGTAGTAGTAGTAGTAGTAGTAGTAGTAGTAGTAGTAGTAGTAGTAGTAGTAGTAGTAGTAGTAGTAGTAGTAGTAGTAGCACAAGTAGTCGTATCCAAGGCAGTTTGGAGGCCTCTTGGAGATCGTAGAGGGGCCTCTTGGGCTTCTCTTTTGCGCCTCCTGGGAGCGTCCGGGGGCCCTCTTGGGCGCCTCTTGGAGCGTCTTTGGGGCCTGTTGGGGCCATCTTTGGGGCGATGGATCACAGATGGGGCGAGCATTTTTGTCAGTACCCCCGTCGGGGCCACGATCCTCGTGAGGGGTGTCGAATTTTAGCCCTCCCAGGGATAGAAAAAGGACCCTCTGACCACCCGCGAAACCCCCTCTCCAGGTCCAGGGGGAGGGGGTAGGGGGAGGGGTAAACCCTTCCCCGAAGGGGAAGAAGGGGGGTTGAGAACAGAGAGAGCTCGCTAAACCACTCACGCCCAAAGTGGTGGGATAGTAGTAGTAGTAGTAGTAGTAGTAGTAGTAGTAGTAGTAGTAGTAGTAGTAGTAGTAGTAGTAGTAGTAGTAGTAGTAGTAGTAGTAGTAGTAGTAGGAGTAGGAGTAGGAGTAGGAGTAGGAGTAGGAGTAGGAGTAGGAGTAGGAGTAGGAGTAGGAGTAGGAGTAGGAGAGTAGTAGGAGTAGGAGTAGGAGTAGAAGTAGTAGTAGTAGTAGTAGTAGTAGTAGTAGTAGTAGTAGTAGTAGTAGTAGTAGTAGTAGTAGAAGTAGAAGTAGAAGTGGAAGTAGAAGTAGACGTAGACGTAGACGTAGACGTAGACGTAGAAGTAGAAGTAGAAGTAGAAGTAGAAGTAGAAGTAGAAGTAGTAGTAGTAGATTTCTTTTGTGAGGCTCTTGGAGGCCTTTTGGGGCGTCTTCGGCGCCTCTTGGCGGCCCCAGGGGCTTCTAGGAGCGTCTTGGGTGCCTGGGGGGAGCCTCT